TTTTCATTTAAGACAGATTTGAAAAAGGTTCACTGAAATTTTTAAAAAAAAACTTCAAGTAGAACAAAATCAAAAGTCATTATATGGTGAATTGGAAGCTTCACTATATTTTTTGCTAGATAAAAATGATTAATATTGGGTTTTTGAATTTAATGTAAACAAAGATTTCTTTTGATAAAGTATTTTGAAGATGATTTAATGGGAATCCCCTAAATAAATGGTTAATTTGAACTCAAATAAACGTTTTTCCACCTATAATAATTTTTTTTGAACAAATTTTAAATTCAAGAATTAATTTTATGATTTTGTATATAATTTTTTTCTGAATTCGTCTTACCAAATAAATTTGCTAAATAAAATTTTTTTAAAGGAAATATTTTTCGTTCTTACAAATACGAACCATTTTTTTGCAAAATTTCCGTCCAATTACTTTGGAGGGGGGGCAAGAAAAATTCAAAATTTAAAATTTCAAAAAAATTGATATATTTGAAAATATAATTTTTTTTCTAGTTTGCCCTTTTTATAGAGAATAAAAAAGATGTTGCCGAAATTTATTGTCATTGGCAATTTTTGAAAAATTTTAAAAATTTTTTTTATTTCTATACTTCAAGTGGGATTTTTAAAAAACCCAAATAATATTTAGTTGTTAAAAGAAAAATTTATATTGCATTTTTTTTTATCATTTTTTTTAAAAAGGTTTGTAATTTATTTTATAGTTTTTCAACTTCCCCGCTTGTGTTTTAAAATTTTTAAAAAATTTTCAAAAAAATTAATAAACTAAATTCATTATTGACTAATCAATTATTAAATGTATGTATTATCTACAACTGTAACTTTATAATAACATACTTTTCTCAATTGTACATTATATCCACCATACAGTTGTGTATTGGCGATGAACATTGTATATGTTTATGCCAAATAAATATTGAATTGAATTGAATTGATGACTTGATATTCTTAAAAAGTTTTCAATGGATAATTGGATTTTCTCAGAATGGTATAAAATAGATAAATGGGAGGACAAAAGACATTTTTCATCATGAGCTTTGGTCAGCTTGCTAGATTAGAATATTAAATGTATTTTCTTTGGAACATAAAAAACAGTAGTCAAAATGATCAAAGTCTGTTTTTTATGATCATAGTTGTACCAAATATACAAATAGTAACAAAAGGGATTACTCAAGTAATATTACAAGCATATTTAATGTCAAATTAAAAAAATGGTTTCTATCAATACTTGGGATTTAAGATACAGTCTTTATATTTCAAAAATTGGGATGAATTTCAAAATGACCAAATTCAGGACTTTGTGTTATACACGTTATATGGTGAAACATTATCAATATAATGGAAGACTGTTACCTGAATTTTAGACCGGTATAAGGAAATTCACTAACATTATGTTTTGCGAGTCAAGGATATAAAAGCTTCTTGACATTGTGATGATTAAAGAGCTATTGTTAATTGGTTTATTTGGAGATCAATATATTATTTTGTAGAATTGCTGTTTACATTCCTATCAATAAACCCATAACACCTCATGTTCAAACTGCAGACGAAAATTTCTGTTGTAAAAATGTCACAGTATACGGCAAATCGACATTCCACTCAAACCACCATAAAACCAATTGCCTTCATATAAAATAGAATCAACTTCATACAGCAAAAATTTGGGAAATCAGGGTCGATTGAAATAATCACGGTAAAAATGTCAGAAGTACAATTAGGGCCGTAAAAATGAGCTATTTGTTTACCGGAATGAACCCACAGAAAAAAAAAACAACTTCAAAATGATATAACAATTCCTAAAAGAAATGACCTACTTATTTTATTTCGATAAATATAAAGAGTGCAATCAATTCATTTCATTTCTGGAGAAAAAAATATCAAGTTCGTTATTAATTACCATTACGCGACACGAATGACCGTTTCGTTTAGACTAAAACTACGTCTATAAATAGATTTTCGGACTTTCAAAGTTTCACTCTGTTATGGTCATTTATAGCTACAGCAATAAAATACATACATAACCCACTGTGTACTACAAAATAATAAGTAATTTCCTGTAGAAGATACAAATGTAAGAAATAAATTACCGAATTTAAGTTTATTTTTATTTTGTCTTTCATACTGCCTTCCTAGCGGTTGAGGCGTGACATATGTTCCCGTTCTCATTCTTAATATGACATGCTGCCAATTACCGAAGGGGAAACCAATATATGATATCGGAAGGAATTCTTGATTCCGAATTTATTTTAAGCTGTAAATCGGAGGGATAAATTGATAAATCAAAGGGCTGCAAGCTCTGTGGTATTTTCTGATCTTTGCAGTCTTAATCGTACTGTATATCTGTATGCACTTTCCTGTATAACTTTATTTTTAATCTTACAAGGCACCGAGATGCAGCGAACTGCATTAACAGTTTGAGTTTGATACATATGGAATTTTGCATGACTAGAGTCGCATCAAAAATCATTTATGTACATTTTTTTATGACAGCCACACTTTATCCTTGCATATCGTGGCTACTTCCTTAGACACTTCTAAATTTATAATTTCCATTTCGGGTTTGTAATCCTTATTAACTTCGAGTTATTTTGTACACGATAAACCTGTTGTTTAAGACTGATGTAAATAATTTAGCGAAAATCTTCGCGCCAAAATAGTTTGACATGTATATATACCACTACTCGACAGTCTGATTTATTTGTGTACTACGCTCTGAAGTATTCGATAATCGACATCGCTAAAATAGCATTTTCATTGATTAAATGATATTAATCCGCGCAATCTGTGATTGTGCATTTATTGACAATTCTATTAGCCAACGCTACTTGCATTGTAATTTGTCGGATACTTGTAACAAAATTATTATATTTCTTTCTTTTACATCGCTAGTTTTAAGTTGTTTTGAGAACTAATTGTTATTAGGTTTGTCGTGAAATTCTGTGCCAGAGGTTGAATTTCAGCATTGTATTTTCCTGATTTGCGATCAGAAAATACAATCAAAGCACAGAAGGCGCTGAATTTGTTTGGGAAAGGTGAAGGTTGTGAGATTATAAACCAATTTGTTTTTGTAAAGTGCCACCAATGCTTTCCAGCGTTTTAATTGTAGTAAATTGGCTATAAGACTAATTTAAACACTGATATTCAATCCAATGTTTATTTGACTTAAACAATTAGAAAAAAAAGAGTTGCCTTAACTGGGTTTTGAACTCTAGACCTCTCGCTTCCTAAGCGAGCGCGCAAACCCCTCGGCCGCGGTGAAGTTACTTGTTAACATCCTGAAGAAAACTGTATTATTCTATATTAGGGTTTGTAACGACGCTTACTGTTGTTTAACACAGATGTAAATAATCATGGAGCTTACTATAAGCATGTATATCTATAAAGAATAAAATAATATTAGAAATCTTCGACTATTCGGGAATTATTTTGCTTGAAAATTAATGCGCCTGTCATTTGACCATCTTTAGGCAGTGATCTCCCCTGAATTTTTCGACGTTAGTTTACATATAAAGGGAAATAACCGCTTCAAAAAAGCGGACTACTTTCGGCACTTGCAATTAACAGCATTAGAGTCTGAAATTTCGCTACCATTATTTGTTTGGTCTGACGACCCAAACAAATAAAAACGGGTCAATGAACAAAAAAAGATAGTAAACAGAAATAGCTCTGCGCCTGTGAGTACATAATGAATAATGCTGCTCAAACAACTTAAAAAGTTTCGAGTATCGGTATCGATAAATTACGATATCGTTTCACAAGTATCGTATCGTTTCGTTCTTAACGATATCCAACCCTACCTGCGGCCAAGCTCAAGGTCATACATAGATGTCAAAGTTCAGATAGAAAATATGAAAATATGTATTCGGACCATTTATTCATCATTTATTGAGAGATTGTACCATAAATGATCATTATTATGATTGCGATGATGGCTGTGACACTTGTAATTTAGGTCAATATATGTCAAGGTCACTGAAAATGATAAAACATACAAATTTTGACCAGGGCATATCGCCTACACATGTGGCGGGATTCTAATGAAACTTCATAGAAATGTTTTTGCACTGTGAGAAGCAGTGTCACGTGCATGAACTAGGTCTCTAGGTTAAAGGTTAAGGTCACACTTAGAGGTCATCGAAAAATGCTATTTCGTATCAAAACTTCTACATTCATTGCGGGATTCTAATGTTACATGGCACAAATATTCGCCATTGTGAGGCTAAGTATTGTGCACAAAATGCAGGTCCCTGCTACCATAGTCAATGTCACATAATGAGGTCAAAGCTAAGATAAAAACAGAAGATGTGTACATGGCCCATTTAGTCATCAATTATTGATCATGACTACAAATGTGACACATGATATTTAGGTTAATATTTTCAAGGTCCATGTCACTAGAGATGATAAAATACCCAGATATTGTCAGGATATTGCCAAGAGCTATCTCCTTTATGCATAGCTATAATGCCCACATCTCTGTCTAAAGCTTTTGTGACGGGCGCATTTTGCGACAATTCTTCCCTTTATTAATGATAATATTACTTTTAAAGTACTGCAGTCTTGTTAGATTTGTTAACGAACGAGCTGACATTTTATATCGAACAAGAGCTGTTATGCAAGTGATGAATGCCCCCGTAAGGTTTCTTAAGCATGCAGGTATTATGAGAGGAAAAGAGAATGAAAGTACTAATTAACTGCTTAGTATTGTGAAATGAAGTGCTATTTATAGCAAACTTAACACCTTGGGACAATGGTCATGGGCGTGACACATCATCTTGATGTGGTTGATATTTATATTTGCCATGTTATTTTAAAATATTTCAATGCATGACAATGTTACAGTTTGAAAACTAATGTGTGCCTCCAAACTTTTCTTATGAGCATAAGTACCTTCAAACTATTGGACCTTGACCTTGGAGGTAGGGACATGGATCTTGGACGCGACATGTTGTCTTGATGTGGTAGACATTTGTGCCAAGTCATTTTTAAACTCTTCAAAGCATGACAAAGTATAGTCCGGACACGAATGTGTGCACCTATAATCTCTTATTGTGATAACTTGAACCTTCAAAATATAAGTGTGACATTGACCTTTAATAAGGACGTGGTTCTTGGATGCGACACAACGATGTCATGTGATAGACATTTGTGCCAAGTTATTTCAAAATCCCTTAATGCATGACAAAGTAACAGTCTGGACATGACTGTCGTGTAAGTGGGGACGCACGGACGGACAGACGGACATCAGCCTTAGCCGCGACACATCGTCTTGGTGTGGTAGACATTTGTGCCGAGTTATTTTAAAATCCTTCTATGCATGACAAAGTAACAGTCCAGACATGAATGTGTATCTCCAAACCCTCCTCGAAAGAATGATTACCTTCAAAGTATAAGTGTAACCTTGACCTTGAAAGAAGTTACATGGTTCATGGACGCGACACATCGTCTTGATGTTGTAGACATTTATGCCAAGCTATTTAAAAATTCCTCGATGTATGACAAAGTAACAGTCCGGACACGAATGAAGTGGGGACGCATAGACAGACAGACGGTGCGATTTTAATATGCCTCCCTTCGGGGGCTTAAAAACTATTTAACAATAAGGACCTGAAAAACAACTTAAATATCATAAAAGCAGTACAGTCGCAATATAAAATAAAAAATGCAGTATCATCTAACACCGTTTCTTGTCTGTTGTAGATATAATTGCCGTAGTTAAAGGTAACGCCTACGGACACGGTAGTGTAGAACTTGCCAAGCACCTCATAGACATTGGAATTAGACACTTTGCCGTAGCGTCACCTGGTGAGGGGATCGAACTTAGGCAAGCTGGAATCGATACATACATACAAATATTTGGTAGGGTTCAATTGTTAGTACAATCGTTTATTGTTGAAAATACGTGTTTGTTTATATTTATTTTAGATCGATTGTGAAGGACGCTGCTCTCGAAACAATCAGTACTGAGTAATGGGTGTATAGTTTCTTGTTCAAAGAAACAACGGTTTGGCCCTGACGGGGTTTGATTCTATACGCAGCTGGCGACCCTTAAATTACTAGTCTGACGCGTTAGCCATGTCACTTCAAAAGAAAGTTTTATTAAGTGCGTGTATATGTATTTATAGGCTATAGTTTTACAGTAAACGATTACATGTACACGTAAAACATTATTAACATTTAAAATATATAGCATGATAAAATAATATTTGTGTAACAGATATAATTTATGTGACTGCTACAGTCAACGGATCAAAGCCAGCATTTCTGTTTTCACAGATACAATTTATCTTTCAGGAAACGCCTGTGAGGTAGAGATTCCAGATTTAATAGAATATAACTTAGTACCAACTGTGGGTTCCATCGAATTTCTACGGGAATGGGCTCTGTACTCAGAGTGCCCAGAATATATATTTCAAGAACAGTACCAGGTAATTAACTTATTCGTTTTAAAAAAATAATTATGGACAATTATGTGGCCATTGGTCAGTCCCGAGCGGAAATTCTTGCTACAGTCATCCCGCTGTGTTTGCTTTTATTGCGGTCAAATCTCAAAATAAAGTTTACGTTTTTACCAATTGTTTCAGAACTAACAACAAATATAACATCTATTTTCTTCAATTTCAGAAGAGTTATCAGCGCCCAATTGTACTAAAGGTTGACACTGGTATGTCGAGAAATGGCTTTCAACCAGAAGTATTAGATGGCATTGTCAATGTAAGTTGCTAATTCTGCTCTCATGTTAGTTCCAATTTTCTTTAATGGCTCATTTCAAAAAGGGGTTTTTTTAAAGACATTATTTAAAGCATCACTAGATCTAGTTTTCATTTGTCACTTTAAGTGGACAGGCTGTCTTATAAAATTAATTGTACAGTTCTGTCACTTTTGTGTTTTATAACTTGCTTACTGTTGTATAGTACTGTGACATTTATAATTTTGATTTTTCTTATATTGTACAGTACTGTGACATTTATCATTTTGATTTTTCTTATATTGTACAGTACTGTGACATTTATAATTTTGATTTTTCTTATATTGTACAGTACTGTGACATTTATAATTTTGATTTTTCTTATATTGTACAGTACTGTGCCGGTAATGGGATACAGATACATAGCATCATGACCCATTTTGCGGCAGCCTGGGATAATCCAGCATTTACAAAACTACAACTTGAAACCTTCCTCAATGTGGCCGCTAAATATAGGTAAGTAGCTAATAACTATAGGTCAGAAATAATAAAATCGACCTTTTTACGTCGCGGTTCGTTGCTATGAAAAATCGATCGGAAGTAATATTTTCTTGCGCATGCGCAATCTGAAATAGAAATATAGTAGAAGTTCATAGGCAATTCCGAGGTAGTTTAAGGTAAAACGTAGAAAATATATGAAATAGCTGTTAACAAAAACATAAAATATGCCTCCATAGCTTTGTGGCCAAGGGCATGGAAAAGATGATTTTTAAAGAATTCCCCCTTACGACCACGGACCTGGCATTGGCATTTACATTGATGTAAAAAATGTGGAAATATTTCTATCAGGAAATAAAGAGGTCAACTTAATTATTGTTGAAAAATTTCATATAACAACTAAATTTTAGCAACAATATCTTTAAAAGGAGACTTTTGTACATACGCTTTTTTCATTGAATTATTAATACTTCGTAGTTTCGTAAATGTATATATTAACATTTTAAATAAGCCTTTAACTATGAGATAAATTGTAGTCATCGTTTTTGCCCTACGCAGAATGCGCATGCGCAAAATGCAACATTCGTTACTATGGAAAAATCGTATTGTAAAAAGGTCTATATATAGACTTGCTGGTAAAACTCAAAAGATTGCGCCTTGTTTAAGAGCACAAGATCGAAGTCATATTTCCCTATAATCTGTTGCAACCGAAATGATTAGCGTTTGTAAGAGCCTTTTTCTGTATATTATTATTGGTATTGAAATTCATTTTTGAATGAACAGTTTCCCATTCAAAGCAGGTCAAATCCATTACACACTTTCTGCATGTTAAAGATATACTATGCTCTTCCTTGAGTAAAATATTTTAATCGTAGAAATTTATTGAAATCTATAAAATTCTTACTGAATATGCCTTATTTAGTAAAAGAATGAATATACTATGTATGGGAAGCTGCATTCCCTGTTACAGGTAAAGTTGGTCTTTACTTAAAAAAATGCCATTTTAATGACACTATATATTTAAATTGTTACCACCTATAGTGTGTAGAGCTTTAAACATAACATTTATTCTTTGTATGAAGTCGGAACATGTTTATTTTATATTTACAAAGAGACAGTGTAGCTAGCAATTATCAATATTTTATAATATCAAATTTGAGCATAGTAGATCTACATCTATGTTACATCTTACATGTTAAAATGTGATCCATGTTAAAAGTGTTATTTTTCGTTCATTTGCAACATACATGTTCCCTTATAAACACGGTCATATATCGACTGATTATTGTATAACATGTTGTTTTGTTTGTTTTTGTGAATAATAAATCTATTCAATTGATATTTCAAGTCAGTTAATAGAATAAGATCATTGCTTAAAGTCGATATATATTTCATAAACATTTCATGAACAAATGAAAATTGAAGAAATAGTAAACAGCACAGAGGGTCTCATTACAGTTTCCTAAAACATAATGGATAAAGTTGGAAATTACAAAATTTCTAGTAAAAATTGATTGCAGTCAGCTTACTTAACATGTGTAGTTGTTTTTGTTTTTTTTGCTCGCGGTTACACGCCACTAAATTTTAGTGTCCCGACAAATAGAGAATAACAGGTTACTGTCTTTTGAGAAAGGGTTTCTCAGACGAGGTTAGATATGGTCCTGGAAGGGGCGAGGCTTGCCGAGCCCCTTCCGGACCATATCTAGCCGAGTCTGAGAAATCCCTTTCTCAAAAGACAGTAACCTGTTATTCTATTTATCATGCCTCTATTATGATTTTGCATCTTATTTTTTTTTAATTCGGGGCGCTAATTTCTGAAAGTACGGTAACCACAAGAGGGTTATACGCCAAAAAAGTAGGCAGTTGTCATAGTAATGGCATGATAAAAATATAAGTGCGCGCTCAGGAAATCACAAAACATTTTTGTCGGACCGCCGAGATCATTTAAAGGCCCACTGGCACTTATATAAATAAAATTGGAACATATTCATGCAAGGTATAATATTTCTTTATAGACCGAGAGGTATAAAATTGCACGTGGCAAATTCTGCTGGTACCCTACTTGGTTATGGGAATGACCTTGATTTTGTCCGACCAGGGATTGCTATGTACGGTCTACCCCCAGGTGTGTAGTAATTTTCTCATTTAAACTTACCTAAATATCATTTTTAGTTTCCGCAAAATGATAAAAAAAAACACCAAAATAACTGTTATTTCTTTTTTATTTCTGATAAAATAAATTATATTAAATGGTTAAATATCTGTGGGAAACTTTAAAAGAAATTTTATTCCAAATAAAAACATTAGTAATTAGAATTAATTAAATAGTTATCGTATCGGATTACTTTTATTGTTTTTGAATTTTGTTATTAATAGAAAATAGTTGACTTTCAGCTTAGCTGTTGATTTCAAGCGGATTATAATCCAGCATTGCACAGATGGTGTTTATATACATGTAGACAATTCTATGACGTTTTTTGTGTGTATTTTTTCCCACAAAATGTTGATGCACATGCCACCTGGTTGTTCATAACTGGGCTAATTTCCAAATCTCTACTCAGGTATCCTATTTACAGAATGTTAAATCATTGATGTTCAACCGCTCAAAAAGGTTCTGTCAAGGAAGCAAGATTTTCGACACCAAACAGGAAACCATTTTTTTTAAAAAAAAGATTGGATTTTGTGAGTATAATATGGTATGTATCGCACTTTATGAGCGAAATATGTTTGTTCTAAAGGAAGGCGCATGTGTAATAAGTAACACCGGAAGTCATTGTGCCAGAGGGCCTTTTTAATTAAAACCAGGCTGAATAGACAAGACAATAGGACGAGGTTTTTTTCTTTCTTGTTCGCACCATTGTTAGTTTTATTATTCCTTTTATATTATATGTGCAACTTATCCAGAGGAACCGTGATTTGACACATGTCATCTTAAAGTGTTTTTTTTTACAAATTGGATGAATATCTATTCAGAATATTAAGTTTTCCAACAAGTAAGTACAATGTATTAACTTTATTGTGAAGAAATACATGCATGCATTAAGGACGAGAACAGACTTGCACGAAACTAAATTTCCAGTTCTGGCTTCCCAACAGAAAGGCCTCTTGGCAAATGCATGGTTACCGATGATACTTGTTACATATAATATAAAATATTCACTTTAATAACGATAATGTTTCAGTTTTAAATGTTCTCAAAGTATATTTCCCCCCTTTCAGATACGAAACAAAACGCAATAGACATGTACAATTGTCTAGGCCTGCGGCCACTATTGTCGTGGATGGCGAAACCTAATCTCGTTAAAACAATGACAGAAGGACGTACAGTCGGATATGACAATACTCACAGGTAATTCAAAAATGAGGACCATTGTTCTTGTTTGATATACATGTATATGTAAGGAAATATGCCTTCACACAAACGTACTTTATTACATTATTTGGACAGTTTAATGCTTATTGTATGCGTGTTGTATCTCAAATTAGAATGATTCTCGCAGTGAATAACAATTAAACATACATGAAACAGAAGGATGCATTCATCACTTTTTTGGAATTCATGACTGTTACATTTTGCTTTCATCTTCAGGTGCGAAGAAGGGGAGGTAATCGCAACTTTATCACTGGGATATGCCGACGGTTTTAACAGGTTGTTGTCGGGGAAAGGAATCGTCACTACTGAAAATGGTAATTCATTCACTATATCTGATCACCATCAAATATGCAATGGTTGAGAAATCAGTGTTGTATTTTATATAAATATATAGTATATTGATATACTGTATATTATATAGCCTATTTCTAAAGAAATAGTATGTTCTATATGGTCATCAAAATGCCAGTAGAAACTCATTTTAAATGATACATATTTGAATTTTCTGCTTGAAAAATTTTCAAAACAAGTTTACTCTGTTTATTCTAAGAAAAGTTTTAAAATTACAGGTGCGGAGTGCCCAGTGATAGGTCGGGTTTCGATGGATGCCATCTCAGTGCGTCTACCTTGCCAGGAAGATAAATATTCTAACTTCTTTATCATAAAAAATGATTATACCTCGCCTAATTCTGTTGTTAACCTAGCCAAAATGTTACACACAATAACCTATGACGTAGTTACAAGTCTTGCTGCACGACTCGCTCGTGTGTACGCAAGGAAAGGTGTAATATACACGACGAGGACATAAACATGACAATAACCTAACTGCCATAGTTGAAACATTACCAGAATGTCACGTGTTCAACGATTATTGTTTTAATATTGTTGAAGTACTTAATCTCAGGGACCAAACATTTTTGTTCTTACTTTACCACATATGTATTAAAAACAAGCATTATTTACAGTGTGCATTTGTGTAAAAATATTTTGCATAAAACCTGTTTGAAAAAAAGGCATTTGTATATGACCTATGTAAATATTTGACTATCTGTCTACATGTTATATTATTTGCAAATTACCTTTAACACGAAATCCGTTATCTGAACATTTTTGTTTGTTATGTTGCAATATTTTTTTTTGATAAAAATGAATATATTCTTACCAATCTTTGGGTTCTTTTTTCTATGCCGCGAAGGTTGCAAAATTAATGTCCAATTGGTCAGATGTCATTTCGTCCAACATATTTTTGTTAGAATTGTAATTTGGTTTTTGTAAAGCTTCCAGTCAGTGAAAACGATGTGTACCTCCAAGACCACGGGCTTCACTTCATAGAAAGTCCAACGTGTATCCTAAGTTCTCCGACTAATCTATATTACTCAACTTTTGCTAAGCACCATAACAACTAGAAGGGTTTTTGTCATAAAAACATATGTCTCCCAAACCTATGTATGGTCACTCATGTGAAGTTTCATTGAAGTCCCACCAGTAGTTTGACCAGTGAAGGCCGGACAAGATTTTCCTATTTTTAGCTCTGACGGCCATTTTGTGCAGCAAAGCGGAACGTGCCGGTGATGTGCACAACTAGGCACCTGTAATGTTTGGTTGTTTGACCTGTGAAGGCCGCCCAAAAATTTTGAGAGACATAATTAATTATGTTTGAGTATGAATATTTTTGGGATAATTTTATTAACGCCGTGCGAAAGGTATTAAATGTTCATTTACTGTTTTATCAATTCAGATGAAGGACGAATTTAACACTGTAAATGAGTTTTACAATGATAGAGGATGACCCCCCTCTTTGAATATTTCAGAACTTGCAGTTTGTTAAATTGTTTTAAGCTCACCTGAGCTAGCTCAAGGTGAGCTTTAAGGATCGTTGAATGTCCGTCGTCCATCCACATTTGTTTGTTAATACTCTAGTGGTCAAATTTTTGCCTCAATCATCATCAAACTTTTTCAGGATGCTTGTATAAGTAATTGCTCGGATGAGTTCGAACATTGGTCATCTCGGATGAAAAACTAGGTCATAGGAGCTAAAAATAGAAAAATATTTTAACACTCTAGTGGCTACTGTTGTTATCCAAATAACCTGGAAATAGATTGACGGTAGGTTCAGGACTACTACAACATGTACCATCATTTTGATTCCTCTGAGTGTTACAGTACACCTTCAAGTACATCTGTACATCCTGAAAAAGTCAAACATACATGTTTCTTCCACATCTGTACATGTTGTGTGTGAATAATAATGTGTGAAGTTTTAAACCATTCCCTTTAGTAGTTTTGCAGATACCAACTTAAGTGTGATATCAACGCATATGCCAGGGTGAGAACAATAGCTCCTTGTTCTTCCAATAGTCAAGTTTAAATTTATATCACAATTTTACCTTTCTTTAATTTTATTTTACCCATAATCATCTGAATTTTTTTAATGGATAAGCTCTGCTTTGAATTTTTATCAGTCAATTTGAAAAGCTAATTGATTTCAATATTAAAATACAACAAGAACCAGTTGAACCAGGTGATGCTCCAAGAATAGGTTTTGGACACAGGGAAGTATACCTCTTGTAGTGTCAGAGTAATGTCCTGGACAAAGTTCAAAGTGTAAAAATGAACAAAGGGCAATAACTCCAAAATTAGGCAAGGCAGAGTTACAATTCTTTTACACTGCAGATCTTCCCAAAGAGATCTATTTACCTACAAAGTTTCATGTTGATATCTGTTATAGTTTTAGAGTTATATCCCGGACAAAGTTCAAAGTATAAAAATGAACAAAGGGCAATAACTCCAAAATTAGGCAAGACAGAGTTATGGTTCTTGTGCACTGCACATCTACTTAATGAGATGTATCTACCTACAAAGTTGCATGTTGGTATCTCTTATAGTTTTAGAGTTATGTACCGGACATAGCTTAATGTGTAATCAAAGTGCTGAAAGCACTGAATGCGAAGGACATGCAAAAGGAGGGACATTAAGGCTTTTTCAGGAAAAAACACAAAAGATATAACAGAGACAATTTGTTCCATACAAGTTCGAGATTTGTAGAGCAATCTATTTTAGGTATTTCAATCTGATATCATTCAGATTTTCTACTTCAAGCAGAACAATTCCAAATTTTAAATAAAAAATGAAATTTATACCTCAAAACTCTGGTCAAACTTGTAAATCAGTGTCCTTATCGATTAATTCCATAAAATGATATGTAAATAGAAAAACTGTCAATGAAATAATTCTAAAATAAAACCATGCAGATAAACTTCAAGCATTATACATAATACATGTGAGAATGTTAATAAGAATTGCTTCTGTTATATCATAGTTGGCATTAAAAACAAGAGCCATTGTCTATCTTGGGACATGTTCAACTTTTTTTAGTTCTAAAGCCAATTATAGTGATGATCAGAGAAAATTAAATAATTTGACTGACAAGGTCAAGGCATTTTGAAACTGATATATATAAAGATGCTGACCTGACTGTGTCTAATATGAAGTAAATCCATTTAAAAATAACATAGTTATAGTTATAGCTAGATACAAAAAAGAAAGAAATTTATTACTTAGTTTTAAACTTCTCTCATGTTCTGTTCAATTTAACAAATATTTAATAATTTAAGGCTCAAGGTCAAGGTCAGTTCAACCTTTTAGAAGTTCTTGACAAAAATGTTGTTCTGTCAAAGTATGAATATATCCATTTATAAATACCATCTTACAGTCAGTTATAACAAAAATCTGTCAAAATTCAATACTTTAACCTTGAAGGTCAGGATCATGAAGGAGCCAATGTCAATTTTAGTCAATATTCATGAAAGTTTTATCCTTAGGAATGTTGTGTTATAACATGAAGTCAATCCATTCATTAATAAAAAGTTATAGCCAACGTTAGCCAAAAAAAATCCATATTTGGCGTTCAAGATCAAGGTCATTTATGAGTGAAGGTCAAGGTCTGTCTGATTAAACTTGAAGACCTACCCTAAAAGATTATTGTATTCAAGTTTGAAGACAATCCATTCAAAAAATAACAAATCTAAAGCAAAAATCATGAAAAAAAACAAGCATTTATGATCTGATGGACAAGTCTAACAAATATTTCACAAAATATACCACTTTTTTCCATTCAAGTAACTTTTATCAAATCGTAAAACAACTGAAATTGTTATCAAACAATTTCTGTAAATAACAAAATAAAAAAACCTAGACACACAAGCCATACTGAAGTGTCTATATAGGCTAAAATATCTATCAACAGCAATGAACTGTGAGTTATGGTATCAAACCATAAAACCATTTAAATTACTTAAATAATTATTTTTGTATTTTTAGAGAAGTTTAAGGTAGAAAAACATTATTGATTTTAATTTTACATTTTATACATTATATAGGGTTTTGTGTGTGTGTGTTTTTTTTTTTTTTTTTTTTTTTTTTTTTTTTTTTGGGGGGGGGGGGGTTAAATTATGCATATTCCATTTTAGAATATGGTAGTAAATATTTTCAAAATGTAGTAAAATCTAAATATTTTCAAAATCTGGTATAATCAAAACTATACGATAAAAGTATTTGACAAGATCAACTTACATTTAAAGAATATTTTTAAGCGCCCAAAAATTAAGTACTAAAAACATTGTAATAGTCTTTTGAATAATGCACTCTAAGCTGGAATATTTAAAATAGATGTGGTAGTATAAATGGTTAGTAATCCTAATCAAGTCTGTTCTTAATAAATTCTTGGTGAAACACTGGTGCCTCAATAAAGTTCTGGTCATACATATTTCAAACTTGATAAGTTATCTCATGTCCCTAGTGAAAAACTGGCATCTCGATATAGTTCTGTTCAAACATACTTCAAACTTGTGTTCGTGACTCGATATACATGTAGTTATCTAAATGTCAATTCGTCTTCCAACTAGATTTAGTCTAGGTACCATCATTCATGAGGCTTTCAACATCTAAAAACTAAGTATCCCCTCATTGCAAAGGGCAGGCAGACTCCTGGTATTCCGACTTCTTTTAAGTTTTAAATAATCCAAGTTTTAAACTTCTCTCATGTTTTCCAACAAGAAGACCACCTCTATCTTCCTTCATCACTCCATCAAACCAGCGTCTCTGTTTTCTGAAATATTTGTTCAGAAAAAGTTGATTGCATACCTAAAATTCCATATTCCTTTTTGTTGGGTTTGCACCTACAAAGTAGTAACAAAGCATAGGTCGTGTGGCCACTTTCCAGCTTTATTTGTGCAGGAACACCGCGGGTGCTTCTCTTGACATGATTCCAGGCACAAATGGGTACATAAGTAGAACCATCAATGTTCTGTAACTGAGCTGGATGAAAAAATCTATAAATCCCAACAGAGCTCAATTCTATAGCAGTGAAAGTAAATTTGTTTGAAATTAAAGAATACAGACAACCGAGTTATTTTATCTATTTGCTAAGTGGCACTTATTAATGTTTTTTCAAAGTCATTAACATTTATAAATGTGAGTGATTCTTATAAGCTATTGACAGCTGAGTCAAGAAAAGATGATCAGATTGTCAGACTGCTTACTTTTTAAATGTGAATTGTCTTCAGGTGAAAAGGAAAGGAAAGCTGAATTACAATGCCCTTGAATAGAATAGAAGTTATAATTAAGAAAAAGTATGAACAAATAATTTTAGATGATCATAAACCTCTTCATCCTCGTATATGCCTAAGCCATTGAAAGAAACACTCTTCCCTTGTTAGTCAGATTGACAGTCAGTCTCACATTTAAGCATTTATCTCTCTTGATTCCATCCTCATTGACCCTAAAGCATCCTTTAAATTGATCTCCTGTCCTTCATGTTCACCAAACTGAAATGTACCTCCTGAAACAGGAAAATTAGTAAGGTAAATGATAATCATTACTATGTACATGTAGTATGCTAAGAATTATGATAATATGCTAGAACCACTTAACAATAGCTGTTATATCAGCTATAAGACAGAAAGCTGCCCCTATAGATAGCCTCTGCTATGTACCATGCATTTTAAATTGTATTGAAGTTAAATAATTTTGTAAAATGTGTGAGCAAAGTCCATTCTCAGTTGTTGAATTTAATTTCCTCAATTCTGATTTATTGCGCTACATTTTCCCAAAGCGACAGGTTGTTTTGAAAATTGAAAAAACAAATCACTGACTAAAAAAATACACTTTG